GGACATAGTAAGATGGAGTAGGGCATGGTCACTTTTACCCAGTGGGGTCATTAACTGAATACTTTCTATATCTTTCGCCCCCTTCGTTATTACCGGGTCCAACCTGGTGGACCTACTGCCACCGCGCCATCTCGCATCCTCTCTTACATGTTGCACGAGGGCTTCATCGTGTTGCAGGTTCAGTAACGCATGGCCAAAGGACCCCGATGGGGCACTTTCTTCACCCCAGTTGATCTCTGGGGTGTTGAAATCCTCGAGGATCAGAAGTTTCCCATCGTGGCGAGCTGCCGTACGTAGCGTAAGTAGCAGCGCCTCATCCTCGCTGGCCGAGGATGGTGGGCTTCTGTAAACGCTAACTACCATCAGTTTGGTGTGACCGACGCTCGGTACACAGCCGGAAACCTGGATGTTAGGCGTTGATAACGTGTGGCTCTGGTATAGTTGCTGTGCCACTAGCATGAGGGTCTCTCCACCTATCCTGCCGTCCATTCTATCGGTACGATAATCGCAGAAGGCTGGCGGGAATTGGTGCTTGACGTTTATCCTGGACGGATCCAGGTTTCTGTGATCGCCACAACATCGCATTTTCTTGCCTCTACTTTGATTTCTGACCATTTGTTTCCCACGCACACGCATTTGTGTATGCTATGTTCAGTGGGACTCCTCCCCTAGTGCTTGACATTTCGCTAGGGGAGGGTGTCTCCTCGGGATTCACTCCCGAGCTTGTGTCCCGTTTTTTGGGCCTGCTTTTCGTTTATCGTTGCCTTTTTGTTCGTTTCCCCAAACGAATCAGGTTTTCGCGCCTGTTTTGGTCTACTGGGTCCTTTATTCTTGGGCGGTCTCAGAAGAACCTCCCTGTATGACAGGTTTTGGTCCGTCAGGGCCTGGTCGACCATGGTCGGGGAGTGCTACCGCTCTTAACAACGTGGCCAAGTGCTCCCGCATGTACCGTTACCTCAGTCTACCTTGCCTCATGAACGGTTCTGGTACACCGTGGATGAGAACGTTGTGATGTCTACCAATGGCTACATCGGTGTTCTTTCGCAGCCTCTCAACCACCTCAGCCAAGATCTTTTTCCTTCCACAGACGATTTAGGTTTTCCTCCTGCTCATCCATCCGCCTAACTAGGTTCTCAACGGTGGCTGTGATCTCACTCATAGATGTCATATTAGGAGGTGCTCCCCCTTTGTTTTCGCTCTTCTTTTTCTGTCTTTTTGCCTGTGCTTACTTTCTCAGGCACTGTTATTTCCTCGATTTCGACCGAGGGTGGAACAGGAGCCATGCACCCCCTCCTTTTGGGCTTTAATTTAGGTCTGGACGCCTGCCTTTCTTTTTTTGAGATCCCTCAGTAAGGTTGTGCAGGCTGGGCACACCCACTTCAGGCGTTTGTGTTGCCCGTATAGCAGGAAGCTGCCATTCGTCAACCCACTGCATTTCGGGTAAAACCAGGTGTTGCAGGTGTCACAGCCTATGCCTTCGTCAAAAACCTTCCCACACGGATACTCCTGGACTAACATGGCTGTCGTGCAATTACCTGTGGATGACCTGGTGCTGGTGCCCATGCCATTATGGTTATGCTCCATATCAATCTTTTAAACGAGTTTAGAAATTTTATAGACAGAGATCAAACGTCAGCAGATAGAAAAGTAAGAGTAAAACTGCGGATGCTATTAAGATAAAGCCTTCGTTATTGTGCGCTAGAAATCTCGGATATACAATATTCCTTACAGTAGAATCGGAAAACCGCTGATATTGCACCTTAGGTCAATTGAATCCCGTCAAGATACACAGTACGATGTTGGCTCACCTTGTGCGTTTTCCTTTGCCAAACTTTGAAAACCTTTTTCCCAGTTTCTGTATCCCGAAATTTTTCGGCTCCTTCCTTGGTTTTGCAGCTTATTTGATCCAAGGATTCCCCATGTCAAATTTTCAAACCGCGCGGTCAAGGTCAAGGTGCGCCCATTGGTGCACACATTCATTTCCGCAAATGGAAGTCAATGTCTGCACGACAATGAACAATAGGATTACATTCTGGGGAAGTACGGTTTGTCCGAGTGTAATGGTGTTACCTATGCCCGCCTACCTCAGCAGAGTGACTTCACCTAGGCCCATCAAATTAATTTTTTTGATGAATGCATGAAACACCACTTTCTACAGGGATGGCGCAAAGCCAAGCATATCTTCGCCGCCAAGATAAAATGCACGCGAGCCGACCACGGGAGAAGAGAGTAACCATAAGGTCGCTTTTAACCATCAATAGCCAAACACCTCCTAATAGGGACCTTGAAAGAAGCCGTGACCTCAGCTCGAGCTACAAAAGTTATACGTCAAAAAACGACCAGTATCCGGCATTCTAGAGGCGAGATCCAGTCGATCACAGAACAGAACAGTGAAACCCGCATTCACCTTCCAAACGGGGTCGACACCCTGCGTATATACCAACGTACACAGCCTCGTGAATAAAATCCCAGAGTTACAAACCTTGGCGCCAGTCAGCAATCCCGTTATCATAGGTGTTGATTCTATTCGGCTATGTGCCCAAACATTGTGCGACCGATTACACTCGTCCCATTACGAACTAACGTATTCGAACTTCCCACCCACATCCGTTCCCATTTGTCCCCCATCACTGACAACTGTTACATGATTGTTACATGATCGACGCACCACCGCATTCGTTCCATCATACATCCTCCCCGTCACACTTACATGACTTGTCCGCATGTCTGATTGTATTGATTGTCTGGCATGTCCACGTCTGATTCATGTTTTATGGGCGCACGTAAACGACAATCTCGCTGTGGTTTTTGACCTTGAAATCGCGACATTTGATCGGCCTCGATTGGTCACTGGTCCCTCATATACGTTTGGAAAAACCTTTGCTGTTATTGCTCGATACCAGACGTTTCGATGGTTTCGCTGTTTCCCGTTGTATTCAATTGATTTCACGGCTTTCCGATGCGCTATTTCTATCGGATTGTCCCACAGTTTGAGGTTTGTTTACTGTACACTTTATCACTTATCTTCAAGCTTGTGTTACAGTATCTTACTTTGATAAAAATGTTTTGATACAAGGCATTTTTTCTTGTGAGTTTTACGCCTCATGTCGTGGATTAACTGCCATCGTGGAATTAATAATAGGTATTAGTGAAACATGGTTGCATGAATGGATACATAATGTAGAAGCATCTCTCCCAGGAATGCACAGCTACAGGAAGAACCGCAGTAGCTTCAGGGTTGGAGGAGTTACCCTTTACGCAGCTCAACCTTTGCACCCCAAGCAGGTAACTGATTCATAACTGAACGGCTACCCAGAATCAGTGTGAGTTCCCTTTAAACCTGAAGGTTTCCCAGCGACTTTTGTAGGAGTAGTCTACCGACTGCCAAATTCAACAGCCCCAGAAGACGCCAGCATATTATTGTCTATCAATAGAGCCGTAGAACTACAGCATGTGAACATACTGATTATGGCAGATTTCAATCTCCCGTCGATTGACTTTGCGATGTATATCGTCCCCGGTCCAGCAGAGTCAATGTGGACTTGCTTTCTAGAGATATGTACCGAACTAGGACTAGTGGATCACGTGCAAAAACTCACTAAGTGGAAATCCGAAGGAGTGTCATCCATATTTGATTGCGTTCTTACTAACAGCCCGCTGCTAGTAGCTATATACAGGCAATGAATCCGCTTTGAAAAAGTAACCAGCCTACGATTATGTGCAAAATCCTAGTGTGCACCACTAAAATGCCAGACCAGTTACTCGCAGGGCGGAACTTCTACAGGGTAGATTCTGGTGAGCTTACTATAGCTTTATCAGCACTTCTCTCGACGGAACAATCAAGTGAGACGTCAGTTGATGACTTGTGGCGCAGAAATTTTAACAATCTACTATTGACAATACACGACACAGTTCCTCTGCTCAAGCTCAAACCCAAAAATGGGAAAAGAAGTTAGAAGTAGGACTAAAAAGCTGATTAGCTTAAAGCAGGAATGCACAGGAATGCATTCTGACCAATCGCAAATTGCACGTTCACTTGGTACACACGAACACCCAAGAGCCACTTTAGCTTAAAACGTTACTCGCAGGCATACGAAACTGGACATTTTTCGTTGCCGTGCCAAGACCAAAATCAATACAGGCATTAAGGTAACCACAGGGATAAAAAAGGAGAACTGTATGGTCCCCCTCAGCTAAACATCACGCGGTCTAAAAAGAGTGGTCACCATGCCCTAACCGTAAGAGCCTTTTGACTCAATTTGAACGATCAGCGGTCTATAGATAAAAAAGTGGCCACCATGCCCAGACCGTAAGGAGCCAGCGTTTACGGGGAACGCCATGGCGGTGTACTCCTGTTGGTCTCCGATTGACGTTCATGTGATGAGCAACTTGAGGTAAACGTCAACAGTTCTCACCGAACATATCTTTTGTGGGTGGTCTCAAGAGGCCAAAAAAATAAAAGAATTTGAAATAAAGAAATCGAAAACAAAATAAATAAACAAAAAAACAAAGAGATTATGATTATAAAAAATAATAAAAGGTCCACTGCACGCCGCGCACGAAAAGCCCACCACGCTCTCATACATTGTATAGCATACAGCATGCACTCACCATTTCAGCACACGAAGGCATACAAGAAACAAACATCGCACAAAAAGTGACACGATGCTCCCTTTGCTGGCCAGTGCTAAATGTGCCACAACTGCCGGTCTCTAATATGAGTGCGAAAGTGCGACTCCACAATGGTACTTTTAGTTTCATATTCTTACCTTTCCTCCCTGTGTAAACCTTTTTGACTTAACTCTAAACAGTATCACCTAAGTAAACCCCTGGTAATGTTGCTCGCTGGGGTAGCTGTCTGAATCTAGAGAAGGTTAACAAATCATGACAACCCACGAAAAAAATATTCACGTCGTAGCACCAGAGGAAGTCGCAAATCCTACTGGTGTATGAATCTGGACGCGCGTTAGGCGAAAGCCTGTTTTCGTCCTAGAAACCTGACCTGACCTGACCTGACCTGACCTGAAGTCTTGAATTATTTCACGGGTTCGAGGCTAAGACCAAGGGTCCCAGATCTTCGTTAATTGTCGGTTTTTCATTGATGGGTAATGACGACTGACGAGATAATGAAATTACGGCCCTCTAGATAATTGCAAGGACGAAACTGAAAGGGAAGAGGGGAAGAAAAAGGTGCATTATCTGCTTGCGGTGCACAAATATGTCCCCCTGGAATGTAAATATATTTAGACATACACGTGCATAAAATTCAACAGGATGCTGAATTACAGAAACGACATAAATTACTGAAGCACACTTTTACAAGGACTCACGAGGATTCACGGGTTTGGGAACCGACGTTTTCGAGTAGTCCGGGTTCTGGTGGTAGGTTTACTGCTCGGAGGAGGACGGTGGTCTACGGGGCCAAACAATCGCTTACGTTCTTTGATCACGCCCAATTCAAATTTGTCGGGCATCGAATTAACAGATAAAAAATGGTTTGTGATTGA